TTACATTTTTGAAAAATGACCTTGAAATTTTTATAGGGATTGCATTGAATCTGTACATTATTTTTGGTAGTGTGGATATTTTAACAATATTAATTATTTCAGTCCATTGAGATGGGATATTTTTCAATTTATTTGTGTTTTCTTCAATTTCATTCATCAGTGTTTTATAGTCTTCAGTATATAAGTCTTTTACCTTCTGATTTAAATTTACAGCTAAGTTTTTATTTTTTTTCGGTTGCTATTGTAAATGGGATTATTTTCTTAACTTTCTTTTCGGATAGCTCATATATCTAGTAAGGGGTTAATATACAAAATATACAAGGAACTGAAATAACTCAATAGTAAGAAAACAAATAACCCAATTTAAAAGTGGTCAAAGGACCTGAACAAACACTTCTCAAAACAACTCATCTAAATGGCCAACAGGTTCATTTAAAAAATGAACTAATCATTAGGAAAACGCAATTTAAAACCATGACAAGATATCTGTTTATATCCGTTAGAATAGCTTTTATCAAAAAGATGAAAGATAACAACCACTGGGGAGGATGTAGAGAAAATGGAACACTTGTACACTGTTGGTGGTAATGTAAATGGTTCAGCCATTATCGAAACCAGTACGGAATTTCCTCAAAAAACTAAAAATAGAACTACCATATGATCTAGCAATCCCACTACTGGGTATTACAAGGGAAATTATTAAGTATGCCAAAGAGATATCTGCACTCCCATGTTCATTGCAGTGTTATTCGCAGTAGTCAAGATAGGGAATCAACTTGACTATCAATAGTTGGATAGAGAAAATACAGTACACAAAATGAATTATTACTTATCCTTTAAAAAGATGAAATTCTGTCATTTGGGACAAGATGGATGAATCTAGCAGAGGTTATGCTAAGTGAAATAAGTCATGCACAGAAAGGTAAATACTACATGATCTCATTTGTATGGGGAATCTAAAAAAGATTCATCCATATAAGTGGAGAATAGAATGGCGGTTATCAGAGCCAGGGATGGGGGGCTTGGGTGGGGAGGAGTAAGAGAATGTGGAGTTACTGTTTAAAGGATACCCAGTTTCAGCTAGACAGGAGGTTTAGAGATCTGTTGCACAGCAGGATGACCATAGCCAATAATAATGTACTGTGTATTTCAAAATAAAAGAGTAAATTTCAAAGATGTCATCACAAAAAATGTCAAGTAAGTGAAGGGATATATATGTTAATTAATTTGATTTAATAATGCCGTATTACACACATATATGAAAACATCACACTGTACTCTATAAATGTAATGCAATTACAATTATTATAATTTATCAGTTTAAAAATATTATATTGAGCTCCTTGGAATAATCTAGGAAAATTTCCTCATTCTAGGGTCCTTAATTATCATCACAGCTGCAAAATACCCTGTTCTATGTAAGATAACATATTGACAGGTCTGGGGATTAAGACAGGCCCATCTTTGGAGGTCCATTATGCTACCTACCACAAAGACCTGACTGCAGTAGATGTGTGAACCCTCTAGCTGAGTTCTTCAATTTGAAAGTCCCTGGGGAAAATGCAAAAGTGTGCAAAAAGCAAGCATACGCATAGCTGTTCCAGAGGTGCCATGATGGTGCAATGTTGTTCATACCTGTGCATGAACAACACAGGCATGGTTTGATGACTCTTTCTCAGATGTTCTGAGTAGGCCATGTATTCAATAGAGACATTTTCCCCTTCCTTTGCCATAGTTATATTTTTTCTTTGTGTGGGCCGAGTTGCCAACTTTTAAATATAGAAACTGGGAACTGAAGAGGTATGTAATACTGTTAAAATGATTGGAGAAATCAATCTGGTAATATTTGCTTTGCTTGCAATTATAATATTTATTTGTAAAGCCCCTTTTATCCTGGATGGTCAATCAGCCTTAAGACAGCATAGATATTATCAATCTGAGCCTCTCAAGCAATCTGGACTTCTGGAAGTTTCTTCATAAAAAGAAATTTTAGCACTAAAAATGTAGAGAGCAGTGTAAAAGGACAGTAACCAAAAGAAAGGAACACCTAATTTCTCTTTGATTGTATTTTTTTCGTGATCCTCCAGGTGTAAATAAATCAAGCTCTAGAGGAAAGGTAATATTATGTTTTACTGTTAAAAATTAATTTTTTAGAAAGCTTGATGGATATGTCTATAGTGGAACTGAGCAGACTATGTTGAACAATGGTGTATGCATTGTAAACACTAAGTACATGACCAGGTCACAGAATAAGTCAATATCCTTTTGAGATGTCTATTTTTCATGTGGAACTAGCAGTAGGAGGATAATGTAGGTTAAGGAAGATGCATGCCAGAAATATATTTTTTTCTCCTAGTGATAACAGTAAGGCTGAGCTCGTATTTACAAAAGCCATTTATTCATTCAAAAATATTTATTGAATGCCTACTAAGAGCAATGCTTTGGAGGGGATGTATGTGGATGTGAATACATAAGCATGAAAAGACAATTTACTTCTATCCTCAATCTTGTTTACAATCTAGAGAGAAAATACTGGAACTAATGTGTGATTCTTGAATGTGGGGAAGGCATTTTATAAATGTCTTAGGCAGGCTGGGTGCGGTGGTTCATGCCTGCAATTTCAGCAATTTGGGAGGCCAAGGAGGGAAGATTGCTTGAGGCCAGAGTTTGAGACCAGCCAGGGCAACATAGTGAGACCCTAACAAAAGTTACATAAAAAATTTGCCTGGAATGGTGGCACACACCTGTAGTACCAGCTACTCAGAAGGATGAGGCAGGATTGCTTGAGCCCAGGAGTTCACAGTTGCACTGAACTGTGATCACACTACTGCACTCCAGCCTGGGTGACAGAGGGAGACCATTTCTAAAAATAAATAAATTAATTAAAAGAAAAAAAGTTATTTGATCTTCTAGTTTGAAACCAACTTCTGATTTCACTTATTTGATACATACCAAATCATGAGGTCTCTACAACAGATTTACCTCCTTTTATTCAGAATTTTAAAAAGCTAAAATAATGCCACTTCAAATATGGGTATCTTTTGTTTTTTCTACCAATTTTTAAGTGACTTTTTAGGAAATCCAAATTTATTTGATAGAGACAAAGGTGATTTCTATCTATTTTATTCTGTGGTGGTGTGAAAGTAGTTTTTTTTAAATGTAGGCAAATCCTCTAAAATCTTTAAATAGGATAGTCTGTCAGGCTTAGCAGATTTTAAGTTCATCAAAAAAAGAAAATTGAGTGTGCATAAATAAAGAAGAAAAAGTTGATAATAGACAAGGAATTCTTGTTGTTATGTCTTTAGAAGGAGGAAAGTAATAGAGTCAAAAACAATGTAACAGAGAAACTGCATCACTGTCAGATTTCTGCCTATTAGAGAGATGGCTGTGTGAGATAGGGTTGGGTGTGTGTAGGAAGGGAGGTAAAATTATGTCCGAAATGTCTACACCCTGGAGGGCTGTGGAGTGGAGTCAAATCCTTACAATCTTTGTACTCAGGAGCAAGATGGGAGATGACGCTGGTGTGTGTTACAATTTCTACCCGAGTTATCCAAAGCTAAAAGTTAATAAAAATCACTCTTTTATTTTCCATTAGAAGAGTGCAAGTTTTTGTGGCGATCCCCCGGAAACAAAAATATTGTCTGGCACGTTTACATTTTACTGGGACAATTGGAAATCAGCTTCTGAAATGCTAAGGAGTTTATTCTTTTGGATGTATATATATATATTTTTTTGCTCTGATGCCTAATAATTGTGTCTCGCAAACACAAAAGGCTTCCATACATAGAGTCAATAACTCCCTCGTCAACCAATACCCCATATGCTTGATCTGCAAGTTGAATTTTCTCTGGCAGAAACTTATGTAGACATATGTGGGAGCAGAATAACATTTACACATCAATTAAGACAATTATAAGATAATTTGAGAGTTATTCTAGCTACACAATTTTACCTGTTTGCATCTTCCATTTTTAATTAAAGTTTCACCAAATGCACAAATCTCTTTTCTAAATGTCTCACCTAATTCCTCTGGTGTTCAGAGAAGCAGTTTGAACAGAATATATATATGTGTGTGTGTGTGTGTGGGTGTGTATGTGTATATATATATTATATATTTATAAAATTCACTTTGTCTCTGATGATGAAAATAATTAGAATTTGCAAACATGATTTCTCTTAATTAAACATGAGTTAATATATCTCCCCACCAAAAGGAATCCTATCATAGGAAGCTGCAATGTGCTTGAGTATGTTTCATGATATGCTCAATATATACACAACCACACACACACACACACAGAAGTATTGTTCAAAGTGAGATACACACACACACAGCTTGGCACACTTCTATGTCCTAGGACTTAAGTACTTTCTCTCTATACATTTTGTTTTCTTAAGTTTTTAAGCATTAAGAGAGTTTATCCTTACTTTTATCGTTCTTATCAGCATTAGGATGTACCTTGCACGTAATAAACCCAGACTATACAACGAAATCGATTTCAACTAAATTTGAAGTCTCTCTGGATATCAATCCCCCAAGCCTATTGCAGTTTCCTATGATAGGATTCCTTTTGGTGGGGAGATATATTAACTAATGTTTAATTAAGATAAATCACCTTTGCAAATTCTAGTTGTTTTTGTCATTAGAGACAAAGTGAATTAATTCAGAATCTTTTGTTCCTCAGTAACCCTAAAGCATGTTGCATTTAGAAAAAAAGTGTGAAAATTATTTGACAGTGCATCTCGTTTTGTCAAATCTGCTAGCTATCCAACAATTATTCTGTTACAATCGGTAGACAGATGGGAAATGGGAAATACTGAGCTACAGAGTTGAAACAGAAACATCATGCTGTGGTCACTAGAACTGACGCGATGTGTGGGCACTCTAGTGAATTGCCTTACACATTGTTTTCATGTAAAGAATAAAAAGTTTTCACAGAACAATTAAACATTACTTTAAGATAACTCTAAAATCTTACTGGAATTGTCAGATGAAGGAAAATAATTCTTCGTGTTTCCTGATATCAACTGTGAGGGTGTTTCCTCTGCCTCTATGTTACTGAATTTCCAATCTATGGTTCAGCAGTTGTGATCATTATTAAATCATTCATCACTGATTTAAAAGAATCATGAAGGAATGCTTCAACCTGAAATGGAGACAGTGTTACCTTCCCTATCTATGAAGATACATAGAATCAATCAACTTCAAACATCTTAAATAAATTGCAAGTTTGTGAAGGCAGAAAGAGGATAACGTTCATTGAAAATAAATGCTAGTTCATTATACACAATGTCATTTACAAGGCTCTGACACTGGAAAAGCTGGCTACTCCTTGGTAATGTTTTCTTAGAAAACAAATAATGGAGTCTTGCGAGAATATCAAACAGAGGCAGGATGCTGAGTCTAGTCTCCTCTGTGAGTGAACTTCACAGAAACTGCATTTACTCCCTTTAATAATAAATAGACCTATCACACTTCAGTTTTTCAGGAAAACTCATTTTTTTTTTTTTGTTTATTGAAAGGTTTAGGTTTTACTCTGCTCAACTCTTCATACAGACATTTGCATCTTTAACTCTTTACTAGGCCTGATGCTGCTTAAGTTCTTATACTGGACCCTAAGTCCTATTTCTTAATCATCTCTGGACACTTGTTCTTGCCAAAGTCATCTCCAGCATAGACTTCATGAAGATATTGAGGCCTTTGGAGCCAAAGCATAACAGGACCACGCAGTGAGAAGCCCTCCACTCAGCTCCATCAGTGAGCCAGGCTGACTCATGCAGGCAACTTTGTTATCTACTGTCCTTGCTCTCAAAAAAAACCATGTAATTCTACCTACTTGACAAGAGGAGCTACTGCTTTGTCTTCTGGTTTTGCTAAATGGGAATCTTGAAGACAACCAGAAAATGTCAAATTGACATTATGAAATTTTAAAAGTTCTGAAATTTGCAGATGAAAGATACTATTATATTTAGTACATTTATGAAATCTTCCCTATACATTTTATTGTCACAGGACACCACACATAATGTAAAATAAAAGGGTATTTTATACTAAAACATTTAGCTTAGATGTGGGGTTTGAGTGGAAATCTTTTAAAAACTAATTTCAACTTTTATTTAGATTCAGGAGGTATATGTGCAGGTTTGTTGAATGAGTATATTTCATAATACTGAGGTTTGGGGTATGAATGATCCCATCACCTAGGCAGTGAGGATCACAACAAATAGGTAGATTTTCAGCTTTTGCTCACCTCTCTGGCATTCCGTTAGTGTTTATTGTTTCCATATTTATGTCCGTGTGTACGCAATGTTTAGCTTCCACTCGTGAGAACATGCAATATTTGGTTTTCTATTCCAGTCTTAATTCACTTAGGATAATGGCCTCCAGCTGCATCTGTGTTGCTCCAAAGAACATGATTGTGCTCTTTTTAATCCCTGCATAGTATTCCATGGTGTATATGTACCACATTTTCTTTATCCAATACATCATTCATAGGTGCCAAGGTTGATTGCACGTCTTTGCTATTGTGAATAGCACTGCAATGAACATAAAAGTGCATGTGTCTTTTCAGTACAATGATTTATTTTCCTTTGGGTGTACACCTAGTAATGGGATTGCTGGGTCAAATGGTAGTTCTAAGTTCTGTGAGAAATTTCCAAACTGCTTTCCACAGAAGGTGATCTATTCTCACCAGCAGGGTATAAGTGTTCCTTTTTCTTCACAGCCTCACCAGCATCTGTTGTTTTTTGACTTCTTACTAATAGTCATTGTGACTGGGGTAAGATGTTTCTCATTGTGGTTTTGGTTTGCATTTCTCTGATGAATAATAATATTGAGCATTTTTTCATATGTTTGTTGGTGGCTTGTAAGTCTTTTTTTGGAAAAGTGTTCAAATCCTTTGCCCACTTTTTAATGGGGTTATTGGATTTTTGCTTGTTGAATTGTTTTTTGCTTGTTGAGTTGAATAAGTTCCCTATAGATTCTGGATATTAGATCTTTGTTGAATGCATAGTTTGCTAATATTTTCTCCCACTCTGTAGGTTGTCTGTTTACTCTGTTGATAGTATCTTCTGTTGTGCAGAAGCTCTTTAGTTTAATTAGGTACAATTTGTCAAGTTTTGTTTTTGTTGCAATTGCTTTTGCGGACTCAGTCACAAATTATTTGCTAAAGCCAACGTCCAGAATAGTATTTCCTAGATTTTCTTCTAAGATTTTTATAGGTTAAGGTCTAACATACAAGATATTTAATCCATTTTCAGTTAATTTTTGTATGTGTGAAAGGTAGGGGTCCAAATTCATTCTTCTGAATGTGGCTAGCCAGTGATCCCATCAGCATGTATTGAATAGGGAGTTCTTTTCCCATTGCTTATTTTTGTCAGCTTTGTTAAAGTCAGATGGTTGTAGTGGTGTGGTTTCATTTTTGGGTTCTTTATTCAGTTCCATTGGTCTGTGTGTCTGTTTTGGTACCAGTACCATGCTGTTTTGATTACTGCTGCCTTATTGTATACTTTAAAGTCAGGTAATGTGAAGCTTCAGGCTTTGTTCTTTTTGCTTACAATTGCCTTGGCTATTAAAGCTCTTTCATGGTTCCACATGAATTTTAGAATAGTTATTTCTGGTTCTGTGAAAAATGACATTGGTAGTTGGGTAGGAATAACATTAAATAAATTGATTGCTTTGGGCAGTATGGTCTTTTTAATTATGTTGACTCTTCCAATCTGTGAACATGGAATGATTTTCCATTTGTTTGTGTCACCTATGTTTTCTTTCAGCAGTGTTTTGTAGTTCTCACTGTAGAAATCTTTTCACTTCCTTGGTTAGATGTATTCCTAGGTATTTGTGTGGTATGTATGTGTGTTGTGTGTGTGTGTGTAGTTATTATAAATGGAATTGCATTATTGTTTTGGCTTTCAGTTTGAATTGGTGTATAGAAATGTTACTGGTTTTCGTTCATTGATTTTGTATCCTAAAACTTTACTAAACTCATTTATCAGTTCTAGGAATCTTTTGGTGGAATCTTTAAAGTTTTCTAGGTATAGAATCATATTGTCAGCAAAGAGAAGTAGTTTGAATTCTTGTTTTCCTATTTGGATACATTTTATTTCTTTCTCTTGACTGATTACACTGGCTAGCACTTCCAGTGCCATGCAGAATGGGAATAGTGAGAGTGGGCATTTTTGTTTTCTTCCTGTTCTTAAGGGGCATGCTTCCAACTTCTGCCCATTCAGTATGATGTTGGCTGTGGGTTTCTCTTAGATAGTTCTTACTATTTTGAGATATGTTCTTTCTAAGCCTAATTTGTTGAGTGTTTTTATCATAAAGACATTTTGGATTTTATCAAAAGCCTGTTCTACATCTATTGAGATGATCATTTGATTTTTGTTTTTCATTCTGTTATGTGGTAAATCACATTTACTGACTTGCATATGTTGAAACAACCTTGCCTCTCAGGAATAAAGCCCACTTGATTATGGTGAATTAACTTTTTGATGTGATTCTGGTTTTAGTTTGCTAGTATTTTGTTGAGTGTTTTTGTATCTATGTTCTTCAGTAATATTGACCTGTAGTTTTCTTTTTTCACTGTGTCTTTGCCATATTTTGGTATCAGGGTAATGCTGGCTTTATAGAATGAGTTAGAGAGGAGTTCCTCCCCCTCAATTTTTTTTGAACAGTTTCATTAAAAGTAGTATCAGCTCTTCTGTGTACATCTTGTAGGACTTGGCTGTGAATCCATTTGGGGCTTTTTTTTGGTTGGTAGGTTTTCTACTACTGATTCAATTTTGGAATTGGATATTGGTCTGTTCAGCATTACAATTTGTTCCTGATATAATCTTGGGAGGTTATGTGTTTCCAGGAGTTGATCCATTCCCTCTGGATTTTCTGGTTTGTGTGCATAAAGGTGTTCATAACAGTCTTTGATAATCTTTTGTATATTTCTGTCGGATTGGTTGTAATGTTACTTTTGTCATTTCTGATTTTGCCTATTAGGACCTTCTTTCTTTTTGTCTTTGTTAATCTAGCTAGTGGTCTATCAGTCTTGTTTATTGTTTAAAAGAGCCAACTTTTGGTTTTGTTGATCTGTTGTATAGATTTGTGCATCTTAATTTTGTTCAGTTCTGCTCTGATTTTAGTTATTTATTTTCATCTTCTAGCTTTGCGGTTATTTTGTTCTTGTATTTGTGTGATGTTAGTTTATTAATTTGAGATCTTTCTAACTTCTTGATGTAGGTTTTTCGCACTATAAACTTTCCTCTTAACATTGCTTTTGCTGCATCTCAAAGATTTTGTATGTTGTATCTCTGTTTTCATTTATTTCAAATAATTTTTCATTTCTGCCTTAATTTTACTGTTTAACCAAAAGTCATTCAGGAGCAAGATGTTTATTTCCAAGTAATTGTGTAGTTTTGAGAGATTTTCTTGGTATTGATTGCTATATTTATTCGACTGTGGTCCAAAACAATGGCTCATATGTTAAGTTTTTTTTAGTTTATTGAGACTTGCTTTATGGTTAAGCATATGGTCTATTATGGAGTGTGCTTTGTGTGTAGATGAGAAGAATGTATATTCTGTGGTTGATGGGTGAAATATTCTGTAGATCTCTCTTAAGTCCAATTGGTCAAATGTCAAGTTTAAGTCTAGAATTTTTTTGCCAATTTTCTCCCTCAGTGATCTGTCTAATGCTGATGGTGGGGTGTTGAAGTCCCTCACTATGATTGTTTAGCTGTCTAAGTCTTTTCATAGGTCTAGAAGTACTTGTTTTATGTATCTGGGTGCTCCAATATTGGGTGCATATATATTTAGGATAGTTAAGTCATCTTGTTGAATTTAATTCTTTATAATTATGTAATAATGTTTTATTTGATATAAGAATAGCAACCCCTGCTCTTTCTGGTTTTCCTTTTGCACTATAGATCTTTCTCCAACCCTTTACTTCGAGCCTATGAGTGTTGTTACATGTGAGTTGGGTCTCTTGAGTATAGCAGACAGATTGGTTTTCTTTTTTTATCCACCTGGCCACTCTGTGCCTTTTAAGTGGAGTGTTTAGCCAGTTTACATTCAGGGTTAATATTGATATGTGAGGTTTTGATCCTATTGTGAAGTTGTTCACTGTTTGTAGTTTCTGTATATTAGTAACTGTATAGAGTCTGTGGGATATGTACTTATGTGTATTTTTTTTTTGTCATACCAGGTATTGTTCTTTTCTTTCTGTTTAGAACTTCCTTAGGGATTTCCTATAATGCTGGTAAGGTGATAATGAATTTCCTTAGTGATGGCTTTTATGGAAAAGATTTTATTTCTCTCTCACTTACGGAGCTTAATTTGGTGAGACATAAAATTCTTGGTTGGAATTTCTGTAAGAATGCTGAAAATAGGCCTCTAATCTCTTCTGGTTTGGACATTTTTTACTGAGAAGTCTGCTGTTAGCCTGATGGGCTTCTCTTTGTACATGGTCTGATCTTTCTTTCTTTAAGCTGCCTTTAAGATTTTTCTTTATTATTGACCTTGGACAGTCTGCGGACTATATGCCTTGACGATACTTGCTTTGTATAACATCTCACAGATGTTCTCTGGATTTCTTATATCTGGATGTCTGCCCATCTAGCAAAGTTAAGGAAATTTTATTGAATTATTCCCTCAAATGTATTTTCAAGGTTATTCTCCTCTTTCAGGAATTCCAATAATTCATAGGTTTGGTCAATTCACGTAATCCCATATTTCTTGAAGTTCTTGTTCATCAAATTTTTTTTTTTTTTAATTTTTGTCTAACTGGGTTAGTTCAAAATATCAGTCTTCAAGCTCTGAAATTCTTTCTTCTGCCTGGTCTAGTGTACTGATAAAACTTTCATTTGTATTTTTAAATTTCTTAAGTAAGTTTTTCAATTCCAAAAGCTCTGATGATTTCTTTTAAAGATGTGTATCTATTCCTTATTTTCTGGATTGCTTTACAATTTTCTTTGTCTTGATTTCAAACTTTTTGTTTGATTTCAAACTTGTCTTGGATCTCATTTGAGGGTCCTTACAATCCATGCTTTGAATTATTTATGTAATTTTTGAATTTCCATTTTGGTTAGGGAGGATTTCTGGAGAGCTAGTGTGATTCTTTGGTGTCACCACATTCAGATTTTTCATGGTGCCATAATTCTTGTGCTGGTTCCGTCTCATCTGGGCATGCTTCTTAATTTTGTAATTTTTTATTCTTCTATAACTACTAAATTTTGTAATTTTTTCCATTATTCCCTTATTTATTTGTTTATTTGTTTTCCTTTCCCCACTTTCCTAGGAGGTGTGAGTGTAGAGAATGCTGAGGGAGGGTCTCTGACTTTTCTTCTACACTCTTTTGTCAGCAGGTCTTATATTGGGCAGTGTAATTCAAACTACAGGCCAACAGATAGTGCATATGGGTAAGAGTTAACTACAGATGGGTCTGATACTTGATTATTATTTATTGAGAGAAGTTCTCTATGCTGTCTCAAGCAATGAACTGATCCGTGGAGTGTATAGGGTAGTCTGAGCTTCTTGCTCATCCCTGTGGAGAGGGTCCAAGATAGGTGGGACTGGACCAGGCAGGCCTGCTTGCAGGTCCACCAGTGGCAGGCACAAGCATCAGTGCTGAAGGGATGTCCAGTGGGAAGGCAGTAAGCACTGAGAGGTGCATCTAGGTATGGAGCTGAGAATTCTCTTCTTCTGGAAGCTCTCTGCATGGGAGTTAGGGAGGTAAATTAATAATCCTGGGCGTAGAGCATAGAGGACCCTGTTGCACCACAGTGTCTGCATAGGAAGGGTTGGGCAGCTCAGGCTCCTGATCGAGCTGTCCAAGTGCCTGGGCTTGGAGTGGAGAGGGCCCTGCTGCTCAGTGGAAGTTTTATGCTTAATTTCTGACAGGTTTTCAGAAATATAACTACTTTTATAAAGTATATGCATGCACTTTCATAGTTGCACCACGCTATTAGAATAAATATATATTCAAAAATCAGAAAAATGATAATAGAGATAATATAAAGCAAAAGAAATTAATTTAACTTTAGAAAAATTTAAGGCAATTTATGTTAATTGGTCCCTTATAATGTGCAGGAGTCTATATTAAGTATGTTCACGTGTATTATCTTATTATTCAGTCCCTTGGTTAATGCTATTTACCTTTTATATCAACTCTTGAGTTTACTATTACAACTCAGATTTAATCCTAGTACACTTCTGCATATTGAGTATAAAGGGAAAAGTCTGAATTTTTGTTTCTTAGTGAGAGAAAACAGTCATAATTAAATATGAATCATAGATACTGTATAAGTGGCTACCAAAAAGTCTATAGAGAATGTTGTGCCGATGACTTTTTGCCCTGGTAAAAAATGAAAACAAAACCAGAAAATACTGGTTCCTGAAAATGTACCTAGAAACTTTCTGTGTTCTGTCATGACTCTTAGATCCCTTTCATTTCTGCCTCTCAGAGACTACTTTGAGCTCCTTGAGCTTGAAATATATATATCTACAATAGGATTCTGGCTTCTCCTTTGATGCATGCTTTTGCTTTTTTAGTAACTAGAACACAGTGGTTATTTCTTCAATTTGTTCATTTCCCACTTTATTTCAAAGTTAATTTGAAACAGATGTGGCAATTATTTTTTTCCTTCTCTCTCTTTCTGTCTTTGATTCTGGGATGAAAGTGAAAAGAATAACTTACAGCAGTCTAGTTTAGGCACTAATATCTCTAATGAATTATAAAGTTTGTATTCACGTAGAGAAAGAGAGGTGGTTATAGTTTTTAAATGGATTTCCTTTGAAATAGATTTGTCTATCTATCTATCTATCTATCTATCTATCTATCTATCTATCTATCTATCTATCATCTATCTATCTACTTAACAAACAACAAGGCCGGGCGCGGTGGCTCAAGCCTGTAATCCCAGCACTTTGGGAGGCCGAGACGGGCGGATCACGAGGTCAGGAAATCGAGACCATCCTGGCTAACACACTGAAACCCCGTCTCCACTAAAAATACAAAAAAAATTAGCCGGGCGTGGTGGCGGCGCCTGTAGTCCCAGCTACTCGGGAGGCTGAGGCAGGAGAATGGCGGGAACCCGGGAGGAGGAGCTTGCAGTGAGCTGAGATCGCGCCACTGCACTCCAGCCTGGGCGACAGAGGGAGACTCCGCCTCAAAACAAACAAACAAACAAACAAACAAACAAACAAAAAACAAAAAAAAACAAACAACAAAAAAAATTTAGCCTTCCTAATCTTGCCTTCATGCTATCATTCTTATTTAATTTGTCAAAAATCATAAAATCACAGGACTTAAATATCCTATTAATATGATGTGTCTGTTTATGTCATACCTATTTTTGGCAATATACCTGATCTTATTATCTCTTATTTTTCATGCACATTTAGAATTTATCCTTTGCTGGGCTCTATTTTGTCTCATAGAACAAGCCCACTTCAGGGGCCTGTCTACCTGGTTTGCTTATGGTAATTTTTTCTTCACTAGTTTCTTTACCTTTTGTGGTATTGACATGTGACATCATCCTGGGGTCCAGATGCTTCCAGTTACTCTTTTCAGTGTGACTGAAATGCAGATGGTCAAACATTATGATGCAGAAGAACCATGTGGAAAGCTTGTTAAAACTCTGAGTTTCTGGATCCCCAATGCAAGAGATTCTGATGCATTCAGTTTGGCATTTTTCACAACACTTCAGATCACTCCGATTCAGGTTGCTGAGGTTGACACACTAAAAAACCTCTGCATTAAGGCAATAACTCATGACTCTGAAGCCTACTTTTTCTTGAAGAACTTTAAGTTCTGTATTATCTATTACTATAAAACAAACATATATATTATTATATTATCTATCAACCAAATTGACTATTTCTATATAATAAACCTCCAAACCCAGTGATTTATTTTGATCGTGAATCTGAAATTTAGAAAGTGCTTGATGGGATGTCTCATCTCCATCCTTGCAGTGTCAGCAGGGGTGGTTTGACTGGAGCTAGATAGTTACTTCCAACAGGCTCACTCACTCACATCTCTGGCAAGTTGGTACTGGCTGCTGGCTGGGAGGTCAGCCAGGAGTCTTAGTTTCTTTCTCATGAGATTATCTATGGAGCTGCTTGGTTGGCCTTTCCCACAGCATGGTGGCTGAGTTCCAAGAGTAAGTGGGCCATGTGAAAGTAGAAGCTTCTAGAATCTTAAGATCTGGCTCCCCAAATGGACATAGTAACATTTCTTCTGTCAAAGCATTTGTCAAAGCAATCAAGAGCCCTAACAGATTGAAAGAGTGGGTGTAGACTCCTCCTGTTTCAATGGGAGAAGCGTCAAAAAATTTTTAGCTAGTTTATTATAGTAACCTCATTATTTCAGATTATGATCGTCTCTAAAAGGGAACTTAGAGGTAATATTGTCTACTGGTTCTTAAATTAATGTGAGTAATGAACCGTGTGATTGAAAAGAGAAAGCATTCGAATTCGATTTTTTTTAATTCTTTTTTTGTATATTGTCATACAATAAAATGGATTTTTTGGCATGTGTTTTACAGTTCTATGAATTTTAATATGTGTATAGATTTGTATAGCTGTATTACAACTAGGCTCAAGACAGTTTTGTCACCTCAAAGAACTGTCTCAGGCAATCTTTTATAATTATATTCTTATTCCACCTATAACCTCTGGCAAACACTGATCAATTTTATTTAACAATAGTTTTATCTTTTCTAGAATGTCAAAAAAAAAAGTGGAACAACAAAATATGTTGTCTTTTTAGACTGGCTCCTTACAATGTTATTGCATATATCAATGGATAGCAATAGTTTTTTGCTATTTAATTTTTGTCCTTTTAGACTGGCTCCTTACAATGTTATTGCATATATCAATGGATAGCAATAGTTTTTTGCTTTTTAATTTTTTTTTTTAACTACTGAATAGTATTGCATTTTGTAAACATACCTGTTGGCTTTTCTCTTCAACTGATGGAGGACATCTAGATGGTTTCTAGCTCCCAGCTGTCACAAATAAAGCTGCTATGAACATTCATGTGCAGAACTTCATTTTATTTTATTCCATGTTTTAACATTTTATACTTATGATCAATGTTCTAAAATGTGCATAATACATTGGTGTAGCTCATAAATGTAAACATAAATGTTTATAATTTACATATAAGCCATGTTTGAGTACTTATTAACTTAATGCTTCTTAATGTTAATATTTAGAAATTGTATTGCCAATGGTTGAAGCTGGGTGATGGATACATGGAGCTTAATTATACTGTATTTTCTACTCTTATTTGTTTTAAAATTTACACAGTATAATTTTTTTTTAAGTTTGTAGACCTATATCTAGTCTACCATAATCACGTGATAGAGAGTTGAGGATAATAATGGACTTGGGAGCAGGTGTCAGAGAAACACACAGGTCTTCTGCCTCTTGCCCATGTGTCATGCTGCCAGCCAGATGATTTAGGTGAAATAATAAATTACATAAAAATTTCAAGTTAACTATGTGTATTCTTCACATTTTAGCATTTGCTCTCCACATATTTGGAAGAATTGATGGATAATTTTTAAAAACCACATTATGAGAGCACATCAAGGTAACACTGCTCATGTTTAACCTGTAAGACTCTTTTTCCCCCAGCATAGTTGACATATAAACTGCAGAGAAGGCAAATTGCTAGGCTTGCAAGAAACGGAAGTGAGGACTTCCATTTCTTTGCCTGGTGTGTACAGAGATCCTGTGTTCTCTTAGCCTTTTGTTACTAATGCCAGCTAACAGGAAAGCACTGTATAAAGACTTTAGCATGGGTACAACTCTACAACATTGATGCAAAGCAATTTACTTTGTCAGAAACCATCACATGCCAAGCTCCTATCTCTTTATTGATACCAGCCTTTTGGTTTGGGCTGGGAAATTGTTTATTTACTATTTACTGTCACTTATTTATCTATTATTTACCTTTGTAAAATGAAAATTAAACTACCTAGATCAGCTTAGTTTGGCTAAAACCTGCCAAATAACAGAGTAATTTCCTTTCCACACTCTTAGACCTTGATAGCCTGTTCTGAGAAAAGAAAAAGACTTTGAGACTAGGTATATAAAGTTGTATTTAAACCAGCAAAGGATCCCAGATTTGAAACAAATGACTATAGTTCATTACAATTCAGCATGTCTCAGCTATTTAAGTTCTTACACTTCCTCTGTTTTCCTAGCTACAGTACAAGGAGAACATTGTATTTCCAATAAATAATGTATAATTAATTAGCATTTCCAAAAGCATAGTACCTTTCACATGTAATTGTCTTCTGCCTACCCAAACAGCAGGTACTAATGAGATCAGGTTTTTGTCTTGGAGCAATCAGTGACTGTTATTTGGTAATTATGGAGTGTTTAGGGAGTGGAACTCAATTTCTCTAGGTTCATCCATTTGAAATCAGCCTTGTTACTATGGAATGGATAGAAATATTTTACATGGGAAATCTTATTTAACAAAGTTAGAGAAGAGAGACTCTTGCTCCAAGGAAATTTTAATATGTACTGCCTAAGAGAATGTAATAATTCTGAATTAAATAGAATATAGAAGTCAGTAGAGATGATGATCACATTTTTAAGCAGGGCCTGATCTGCCATCGTAATAAATGCATAAAGCCTTACTCAAGCAAATTTAAATAAATAAAGTTCATTTTCTTGGACTAGGTTTTTAAGAATACACACACACACACCACTTGTTACTCTTATGGTAATAATTATTTTATTTATGCCTTTATGGCCTCAAATAGCCTTCATGGTATTTTCAATGATCTATTGTTCTTTTAAGTTAGGAAATGATGCTAAGGTAACATAGGTCATTAAAGTGCAATATCTCTTTAGGCAATTTCCAACATGTTTATCAGAGATGACCAGAGGAGAGTGTAGAGTACATGACTTGATGATTAGGGCAGGAGGAGGCCTGAGTCAGGAGCAAGTATAATAATATTAAGAGTGAAGCACTTGTTATAACTCGCCTTCAGGGATGCTATTGATATGGCATGTAAAATATGTTTGTCAGTTTTCATGGCATGGCTGCTGTTGTGCCCTTCATTCCCTCACTCCAGACCTCTCTGTGACTAGTGGGACTGCCTGAAGCTGACCAGCAGTCAGGAGTCATAAGTCAGAGGGCAGGACCACTCTGCCCTCTATAGCAGCACCATAGACAGGCCAACCTCTGTCACCCCATACTTTACAATACAATTTCTAAGCCTGGCTGCACTGAGGATTATCTGGGGAGCCTCTCACAGGTAGCTGTTTAGACCACATTTCATACATGATCAGTGCAGATCTCTAGAGACTGGGACTCAGGAATATTTGAAAATACCTCTGGGTAATTCTGATTATCAGTCAGGTTTAGGGACCATTGTTTCACTCAGTAGGTTTGGCTGGTTTAAATACAGCTGTGCATAAAGATGACAAACACACACATGCACAGACACAAATTGTCATAGCCATTTAAGCCAGTAGTTTATCTAAACTAGTGAATTTTGTCTCATTATAGCACCTGGACATTTTTGGACACAGACTATAAAGATTAGAGAGAACAAAAACATTTTCAGTATCTCCATAGTAGCTCAATTGGACATACACAATTTATTATGGATTTGCTCCAACCATTTGTTGAAACTACAACAAAAGATACTTTTGATCTTCACCTAAATATGTCTAGTAATACAGAACAGTCCATGGGAGTTATAAATAAGATCACTCAGCTTGATAAAGTTTGTCTCTTACTTTGGTGAAAAAAGTCCACTTTCTAACACATACTTCAAAGTTTCCTTAAGTTTTTTTAAGACTAAACCTGTGAATGGTTTCATTCATTGGAGATGATAGTGTAAGGCAATGGGTGGGGTCCATGGACTTGGTCCTAGCTTAAATCTTTGCTTTCTTTGCTGAAAGACCTCAAGAGAATCACATTTTCCTTTCTTGTCTGCCCCACTCCCTTGCATTTGAGATGCTTGGTCAAGATAATCTCTAAGTACTTTTTGGGTTCTACATTCTGTGATATGACAATCTTCACTTAAGTATTATGTAGACCCTGTCCTGCTGCTTTTGCCATTTAATAGAGTGACATGACACCTCCAGGAGAAGGTAAATGGCATGTGGCATCAGAGGCTAACTGTAGTGCAGTATAGAACAGAAGTTGCTCAGATCATAAGGTGGGTTAAAGAGTGGTAGTTATAGAGCTTGGGGTAGAGTTAGGACTGGTCAGAGCCATATAGAAGAGGCTCTAAATAGGTGAAAAAGAGTGGAGAGGACAATCAGGCCAAGTAGAAAGCATGGAAATTGCAATATACATGTGTTAGGCTCATGCTTCTCCCATGAAGACTGACTAAATTTCCCCAGGAAGTCAAACATTTCCTCCTCTGCATTTCCAAAGTATGTTGTGTCTATCATTGTTAGGGCACTCACCACTATTTTTGTGTGTGTGTGTGTGTGTGTGTGTGTGTTGAAGAGGGGGTATTTTTTCCCCTTAGACTGCAGAATCACTTTACATTCAAATTTATGTTGCCAAGACCCAGCAGATATCTTGCATCCAGTAGGTTGGGTACCTACTAAGTATCTGTTACATTAATGGATAGGAGAAACAATGAGAATACTGCAGAGGCAGGGCTAGTGTAGTAGGTGTTGTGGCATGCCACTCAAATACCCCATATGGGACCAAGTACTCATTCTCTCAGCTATTGAGAATATTGGTGGTTGATAATTTACTGCTCAGTCACTTTCACGGAATTACTCTCCACTGAAGAAAGCTGTCTGACCCAATGTCATGTCCTCTATCCTGGAAGAGTCCATATCCAATGGCTGGTCAATGCAGGGGTATAAAATCTCAATCTCCTTCCCTCAAAGTGAACAATTTTGAAGGGATATCACAGCTTAAGTGTTCCTATGGAATTGCCTGATGTCTTTGTTAAGACAGTTCTCCCCTCTGCTTAATCCTACTTCCTGTACCTCCTCCAGGTGTTCGTTCATGCAAGGGCACATGCCATTAAATTTCTTGTATGAAACTTTCCACCAGCGAGCTTGTTTCTCATGGAATCCAATCTAAGACAACTGGTGTGGGAGTTTGATTTTAGATACTATAGAGACACTGTCTTGAGCCCAAATGACTCTTTTCTGAGAATTAGAAGGCCTTGCCCTTAGCCATCTGTCTGAAAATTATTGCCCTAAATATACAGATCTCCAGCGATTATAAGGGTGGAGGTACTCCCACACTTGAGCTGTATAACAGAAAGTGGCTGCCTTGAAGTGGAAAGGTAGACTTGTGCCAGATTAGGAAGGGCTTTCTTAATCAGTCTGTTTTAATCTTCTCAAAGCAACATTCTTCTTTTTGTTGGAATCTGAGTGCCTTAGGAAGTTGCTAGGTTTTAAAACTAATTACACAAAAAATTCATTTTATAAATACTGTATTTGAATTTGCTATCAGTCTTCAGCTCCACAGCATCATTGAACTATATCCTGTGAGTTTTTCTGTTCAGTGTCACAGGCAATTTATCTGTATTAAACATTATGATATCAAGGAAGAAACAACTATGGCTTTCCTTGCTTTTGTATATAGTCATCTGCTGCATAATGACATATTGGTCAATAATGGGCTGAATATGTAAAAGTGGTACCATAAGAGTATAATGGAGCTGAAAAATTCCTATTGCCTAGTGACATTGCAGCTGTCATAACATTGTAGTATAATTACTTATTGTTTTAACATGGTCATGTAGCCTAAGTATAGTGTTTATGGTCTTCAGTAGTGTATCGTAATCTCCCAGGCCTTCACATTCTCTCACCACTCACCCACTGACTCACCCAGAGCAACTTCCAGTCCCGCATGCTCCATTCATGCTAAGTGCTCTGTACAGATGTACCATTTTAAATCTTTTACACCACCTACATTTCTACTGTATCTGTTCTGTGTTTAGAAATGTACGTAATTACTATTGTGTTACAATTGCCTACAGTAACATGCTGTACAGGTTTGCAGTATAGGAACAATAGGCTATGCCATATAACCTAAGTGTGTAGTAGGCTATGCCATCTGGATGTGTGCAGGTACACTCTGTGATGT